GAATCTCCACGGGGAGCTCGTTCCAGAGGGTCGGAGCAGCGACAGAGAAGGCTCTGCTCCGGGTAGTCACCAGTCGGCATTGGCCGGTGGATGGAATTCGGAGGAGGCCTGGAATGGATGTATGAGGTGTGCACTGATGGACTGAAGGATAGATACCTAAAGTTGGACATGGGATGTGGTAGTTGTGTCTGTGTGAGAGACGGAGGGAAGAGGGGAGAGAAAATTGTCTTTTTTTGTTTTAATCAGCTTTGGTCAGATGAGCTGGTCTGGAAAGAGTGGAAATTATAGTCCAATGCATACAGATGTTTGGGAAGGTGAAAAGGCCCTTTTCAGTCACAACTTTTGTAAGACTCAACATTCTTAGCCTGTTGGTCCTTCTCTTGTAAAAAAAAAAAAAAAAAGGGGGGGGGAGAAAGAGAAAGATACCTAGAGAATATTTATGGCTGAGGGTTGAAATGAGGGGTCCTCTGAGCTTGGTTATTTTCTTGAAGACATTTCGTTATCAAACTAGGTAACATCATCAGTGCGAGTAAGGATTGAGAGCACCAAGGACCCCACAAGAAAGATGTGAGGCAGATAAAACTGGTGCTGATCTGAACTTTTGCCTTACTTACTGCTGGCCCGTAGCTTCCCAAGATACCTCTAAGGAGATGTGGACCTCTACAGAAATAATCTGTCCTGAGATGCATTCAGCTTTTTGGCCCGTCAACATTTGCTGGCAGTTTTGGCTTTGATGTGCCTAAAAGTCAGGGAATGTGTTTTCCCTTAACCCGGATCTCCTGTTTAAAAGGGGGGGGGGATGTGATGATCTAAAGTGTATACAGGCATACCTGTCTCACTTTCCTAATCCTCCTTTAACATAACAATAGTTGCCAGGCACCATTGCGGGTCCCAGTGTGAGGATCTTTATCTGAATATTTGTGTTCTGTTTTAGGGTTTTCTCTGGACTCTGGAAAAGGGATCATCTCTCAGGAGGAGGTCACTTTTGTTTCTGGTGCCCCGAGAGCCAACCATAGTGGAGCTGTGGTCCTTCTGAAAAAAGACAGTGACATCCAGCGGACCTTGTCCTCAGTACACATATTTGAAGGCGAGGGGCTGGCCTCTTCCTTCGGCTATGATGTGGCTGTAGTGGACCTCAACCACGATGGGTGAGATTCCTCTCCTTCACACCTCCAAGTTGCTTTTCTGTGATGCGTGATCTCATTTTGGCAGAAGTCAGAGTGGAATTGGGCTCTTTCACTGCAGCCTAGAAATAGCAGAGGGCAACCACAGCATATGTAACATCCCCTGTATCCCTTTCAGAAAAGGCACCAGCCAAAAGATAAAAGTATATTTTATACCTTAAACAAAAAAAACTATACTCCTAATACATGCAGCAAGTACCAAGATCAGGAAGGATGAAAAGAGGATGATGGAGGACTTAGATTCTAGAATTTAAACTATCACATTTTTCGGAGTATAAGACGCACCTTTTTCCTCAAAAAAGAGGCTGAAAATCTGGGTGCATATTATACATCGAATACAGCATTTTTTGCCTCTCGAAGCCCCAACCCCTTCACCAAAATGGCTGTGCATACCCTTATGGAGGTTTTCAGAGAGCTGCTGGGCTGGGAAGGGCAGAAATGAGCAAAAAATGGGTCATTTTTTGCCCCCCTCAGCCCTCAGCAGCACTCTATAAGCCTCCATAAGGCTATGCATGCATTTTTTTTGGACAAAAAACAGGCCTGTTTTCGTGAAAAACGGGCCATTTTTTGCTCATTTTTGGCCCTCCCACCCCCCAGGAGCACTCTGCAAGCCCTCCCCTCAAGGCTATTCATGCCTTTTGGGGGGGGGGGAGAATGGGCCCATTTTCAAGAAAAGCGTACTATTTTTGGGTGGTTTGCAGAATGCAAAAACTTTTTTTCCTTTCGGAAAGCTCTTTAGTTAAAGTGATTGATGAGAATTAGATTGATCAAGTGCTGTGCCAGCAGAAACAAAGTCTTAGGTCCTGCAGATTGTCAGTGATTTTTTTGTCCAGCACATGGATAAATACACCTGGAAACATCTACCTATCTACCTACTCTCACTCTCTCTCCCTACCTACTTACTGTATTTCTCCCTACCTCTCTACCTACCTCTCTACCTACCTACCTACCTACCTACCTACCTACCTACCTACCTACCTACCTATCTACACCCTCTCTCTCTCCCTACCTGCCTACTGTATTTCTCTCTCTCTATTTCTCTATCACTTTACCTGCCTGCCTGCCTGCCTGCCTGCCTGCCTGCTTACCTACCTACCTACCTACCTACCTACCTACTCTCTCTATTTCCTCAGAAACAAGTCTGGGTCCAAATGAGGAATCTCAAATGCCATGAGATGACCACCTATTGGAAGCGTAATAGGAAAACATTCCAGGATTTTTGTGATAATCAACCACTAAAAGACTATTATGAAGCAATATAAGAGGGCTTCCCCAATTTTGTGACCTCACTGTGTCCAACTGCAGTTTCCATTATTCCTACCCAGCAGTAGCCCTTCACTGTTGAAACTTTTAAAGTTGCAGTTAAGAAATTTTTCTTCACAGATGATTATACAATAGTTAGCACTTAGCTGAATTTGGCTGATTGCAAGGGGGAGAGCTGGATTAAAACTGGTTAGTATTTGGAAATTATCAGAAGGTTATAAGTAGAAGAGAACATTTTTAAAAAGATCTATTTAAAAGCAAGGATAAACCTTGCTTTTGTAAGAATTTTAAGAAAATTCTAAGTATTTTCTAGTATTCTTTTCTAAGACAGACCTCTGTAAGTCCATGAAGGAACTAGAAATCCAGCTTGATTCAAGCAAATCGCTCCCATTATCGCACCATGCATTGAGCAGGAGTCATTTAACTGATCTGATCCCTTCAAAGTTGCTGGGGGTATATTTTTTTTTGAAGGGGGAGAGAACTTAAAACCAATTTTTGCTCTCCTTTTTTTTTTTCAGTTGGCAAGATATTGTGGTTGGAGCTCCACAGTATTTTGACAGAGATGGAGAAATTGGTGGTGCTGTCTATGTGTATATTAATCAGGAAGGCAAATGGGACAGAGTACACCCAATCCGCCTCAATGGATCCAAAGACTCCATGTTTGGGATTGCAGTTGAAAACATTGGTGACGTTAATAAAGACGGCTTTTCAGGTAAGCAGGAAAGAATCTTGTATGGATTTGGATTTGCATGGATTTTTTTGTTAACATTCAGCAGTTGGCCCAAATTATCCAGAAATCTGAATCCAACATAATGCTTAATCCATACTTCTTTGGGAGCCAATAAAATTTTTCTTTATTCATTTATTTTTGTGTAGTTTATTTATCATTTTTATATCCCATATTTTGTTTTAAAATTCATCAACAAAGCTGACATCATAAAGCTACAAATACCATGAAATACTGAGCAGCGTTTTGTCTAACATTCAAACATTTTGAAACTTACAGTTATCCTTAGGAAAATTGCACCTTGCAAAACATGTTCATTGTTGTTTAATTTATAATTTGAAGTTTTAGAGATTTGTCATTTTACAGCTCTCTCTCACTTGCTAAGATTTGCGTGCTTGTTTTATTATGCCTGATGTAAACAACTCGTGTTTAGAAATAAGGAAAGTCACCTTGAGTATTCTGTTTTCTTTTCTCTTTTCCTCTTTTTAAAATACAGATATTGCTGTGGGGGCTCCTTATGATGGAGAGTTTGGCAGGGTGTATCTCTATCATGGCTCCAGGAATGGGATAAACACAAAACCAGCACAGGTATTAGCTTGCAACATTTGCTTCTGTGTGTAGTGGAATTTCATTTCATCTACTTACTTGCTCCTGCCCAGTCATTGAAGTGATCAGCTTTCATCACTTACTGGCTTTTTTACACTATACTTTACCTAGTATTTTATCTAGTATTATATTACCCCTCCTGTGCTCTTCCTATAGTTTTTTCAAACTTGATTCTTTCTCAATATAAATCGAGTGGATCTAGGTCTCTGTTCATGCTACCATGACATGGACTCACAAGAAAGCACAGTTAATGGGTAGAAAAGGAGCTTTGCCTCTCTCCAACAACAACAAAGCTGCTATTTCTCCTTCACAGGAAGGGAAAGAGGGCAGTAGCAAACTTGGGAGAACAATGCTGGATTGGGAAAAAGTCATTGCCTTGGTATAAGGAAGGCAATGCACTGTGTTGCATCTTTCAAATAAGTATTATGGACAGTAAAGTTATTGATGGTGCACCACTATGTCCAACCACCACACCTCCAAAGAGAATGGTTACCCACCATTCTCAAAAGCCCAATTCCATTTCCATTCTTAAATGGAAAGAGAACAAAAATGGTGAGGACAGGAGAACCATACATATTCCTTTTCCTATTCCCTTTTTCACTGCTCCAGTTTTTCCTGTCCATATCTGAATTTCAAGGATAGAAAGGGGCAGGAAATACAGAAACATGCAGTATATTGATACTGTTCCATTGACGTAAGGATATTAGCAATAGCAATAGCATTTAGACATACCGGTATACAGCTTTACGGTGATTTACAGCCCGCTCTAAGTGGTTTACAGAATCAGCCTATTGCCCCCAACAATGGTCCTCATTTTACCCACCTCGGAAGGATGGAAGGCTGAGTCAACCTTGAGCTGGTGAGAATTGAACTGCCAGCAGTCAGCAGAATTATCCTGAAGTACTGCATTCTAACTACTGTGCTACCACGGCTCTTAGATATAGTTTTATGGTTTATATTTGATATAGTTTTAGTTTTTTTTTCAAGAGCTGTCTTGCTTGCAAAAGCAACATGTGCTTTTTAAATTTAGGGTGTTTAAATTCACTACTAGCATTTAAGCTTTGATCCTTCTTTCCTGCAAGCTTTGTGAATATTTTCTTTTTCAGTCAGGTTTTTCATTCTTCTTTTCTGTTTCAAATCATACATTTTCTTCATATACAAAGTGAAGAAATGACCTCAGATAAATACAGATATAATTTCTCTTAATTGCCATTGATTCTCGCATTATTCATAAGTATTATGCATTCAAGAAATCTGGGAAAAATTGACTATCTGTTCTGAGCAGTCAACAATAAATTCTTAACTCTGTAGGTCAATAATTCTAATAAGAGTTTACAATTTGACAAGAGTGATGAAGAGATGCATGACCAGTTCTCTTATGAATGTAGACATTAGTTGTGGCTAGCAACTGGGATGAATTAGAAACTAATGGAGAAACTAATTGTGGGGATTAAAAAGTAAGTCACAACTGGCAAATCAAACAAGGTTAAAAAGAACACAGCAAAAGTGTTCTTCACAGTTCAGAAGTGTTTTGTCATTTGAGCAAAGCTCAATTTGACCAGAATATTCTGTTTATATTGTTTCTTGTTTAGGAAAATGCAGTGATCTACACAGGAAAGGGCCTAAGCCTTGCAATAAATTGCCACTTGCAGTTCAGTGATTCATCTATCTTGCAGCTTTCATTCTGTCTAGCGTGCTCCTGATTTTTTTCATCTATTTAGTACTGTAGGTGATAGAACTTCCAGTCTCTTTCTCTCAACCATAGCCTTGGAGGCTGAAAAGCATTTGAGAAGAAGGTGATGGCAAATAACTTATACCGTGATGGTGAACCTATGGCACGCGTGCCAGAAATGGCATGTAGAGCCATCTCTCCAGGCATGCCAGCCGTCGCCCGTTACTCTTCTGGATTCCAGCGGCTGGTCTTTGCGCGCCGGAAACCAGAAGACCAACAGGCGACAGAGCTTCCGGTTTCCGGTGCGCACATAGAACTCCTAGCTGGTTTTCGCATGTGTGGGAGCACTGGAAACCCAAAGACCAGAACTGAGCTTCTGGTTTCCGGCGCGCACATGTGCACAAGCCAGCTGGTCTTTGCACATGCATGCGTGTCTGAAACCGGAAGCTCAGCTTCACACTGGGGAGCTGCTGTTCCGGTTTCCAGCACTCCCGCGTGTACACACCAGGCAGCTGCTCTTCTGGTTTCTGGCGCACAATCACGCTCCCATTTCAGCAGTCGGTGCCAAAAAGGTTTGCCAACACTGACTTATACAGTGTTTGGGAAGTTGCCAAGATTTAAGATTGACTTAAAGGGTCACCCCAAGACTTCTCTATAAATGGAGTCAAGGGTGGAAGCTAAATGAGAAAGCAGTGTTGCATTGTTGTTCTGCAAATTATGTCCTTTCTCCTGTGGCATTATGATGTCATGTCCATGTACAAAATGGCGGAGCTTCCAGCGCACTGCTGCTTTGGTCATGTTGATGAAAGCATCTGATCTTGTCCCAAAGGTGCTTTTTCAAGAGGCAACTGGTCTTTCTTTTTCTTTGAAGACATTTTGCTTTTGATCCAAGAAGCTTCTTCAGCATTTTTATAAGCTTCTTGGATGAGAAGCGAAATGTCTTCAAAGAAAAACCAAGAAAGTCCAGTTGCCTCTTGAAAAAGCACCTTTGGGACAACAATGACCTGGATGAGAATCTCCGTAAACATTTAGCAATAGCAATAGCGGTTAGACTTATATACCGCTTCATAGGGCTTTCAGCCCTCTCTAAGTGGTTTACAGAATCAGCATATCGCCCCCCACAATCTGGGTCCTCATTTTACCCACTTTGGAAGGATGGAAGGCTGAGTCAACCCTGAGCCGGTGAGATTTGAACCGCTGAACTGCAGATAGCAGTCAGCTGAAGTAGCCTGCAGTGCTACACTCTACCCACTGTGCCACCTCGGTCTTGTGGATGTCTCAGCACATGTTGAATGTTAAAGGGGTAGTTTAACACTGTGCTGCATTTCTATGCTTTTGTTTTGCATTTCTAGATTCTTGATGGCGCGACAAATAATGTCATATTCTTTGGGTACTCTATCACTGGAAATATGGATCTTGATGGAAACGCTTACCCTGACATTGCTGTTGGATCTCTTTCAGATACTGTTTCAGTTTACAGGTACGTGCTCACTTTATTATGGTTTAACTGTCTCCATAAATAAAAGAGGTTCTTAAAGTAAGTTTATTCAGCTAGTTATCAAATTTGTAAGACCGATCGATTCCATAACAACTCTTAAGTCTATTGAGGGGTATGAAGAATATTTTGAATTCAAACTATCTTGGCTCTGATGTGTTGGTTTTTATTCAAATCAGTTACTTCTAGTGCAAAGTAGATTGTTCCTATCATTTTAGATCAGTGTTTCTCAGCCTTGGCGATTTTAAGATTGGCTGGACTTCAACTCCCAGAATTCCCCAGCCAGCAAAGGGAAATTCTGAGAGTTGAGGTTCACCCCACCTTAAAGTCACCAAGGCTGAGAAACAGTTTTAGATGATTTCCAATGTGAAACTCAGCTAAACTTTGAAACATCCCTACTGCTATTTGCAAAGGACCAGTTTCATGCTTTTGAGATCTTTGTTTTTTATACCATTAAGAAATAGGTCCAAAATAGTGATTAGAATGGAACCATTTACTTATTTTTACTTACTTATGAGATTTTTAAATCCTGCCTTCATTACTTTTATAAATAACTTAAAGCAGTGGGCATACATAATACAGGTAATCTTCAACTTGCAACAGTTATCTTAGTGACCATTGAAAGTTACAACGGCACTGAAAAAGGTGACTTATGACCATCTTTAACAGTTATGACCTTTGCAGCATCCCCATGTTCGTGTGATCAAAATTCAGATGCTTGGTAATGGGTTCGTATTTATGATGGTTGCAGAGTCCCAAACTCATGTGACCACCTTTTTTTGACCTTCTGAGAAGCAAAAGTCAATGGGGAAGCCAGATTCACTTAACAACTGGGTTACTAACTTATCAATGGCATTGGTTCACTTAACAACTGAGACAAGGTTGCAGAATGTAGCAAAACTCACTTAACAAGTATCTCAATTAACAATGGAAATGTTGGCCTCAATTGTGATTGTAAGTCAAGGACTACCTGTATTCCTTTCTCCTCCTATTTCCTTACAAGTACCACTCTATAAAATGATTTACCCATGGATAGGGATGACTTTCATATACTACTATACAAAATAAAGCAGGGTAGCTTTCATTCTCTTTGCGTGATATCCTACTCTTAAGACTGAAGCTTCACGTTATTCTTACTATTTATTAGTGTAATGCCGTTCTTCTTTCCTATTGCTACTTTTATTTTAATGACTTTTTCTCTCCTTGCTTCACATCTCTCAAGATCAAGGCCTGTGATAAGCATTAAGAAATCCATTATGATCTCTCCAGAGAAAATTGATCTGAATGTGAGGAACTGTGAAGTGTCCAGTAACCTTTGGTGAGCCCCTGAGCCTTTTGTTTTTGTTTTCCATTTTTAGCAAAAAAGATTTACATGTAAGTGGTTTATGTGGAACTTTAGTCATAACTTGGTGCAATGTATCATCATAAGGATACTCAATTAGCCTGTTAATATTTTTAGGATGGTTCTTTCAGAAATTAGTAGCATAGAATAAATACATCACCCTTTCATTAAGGATGGTTCTAACTCTGTTGTAGGACATGTGCTTCGTAAGCAAAGGTCCCAGATTCACACTGTAGCACAGGGGTGTCAAACTCGCATCGTCACGTTGTCACGTGACATACTGTGACTTCCCCCCCTTTGCTAAAACGCGGGTGGGCGTGGCCAGTGTGTGAGGCATCTGGGCCGCATGCGCAAGTTTGACACTCCTGCTCTAGGATCTCTAGAAACGGCTGAAAAAATCCCGCCTTAGCCCAGAAGGGGAGAGAGCAAGGCAAGCACAAGGGCTGTGTTCTATTTCCTTATTCTACTCAGTGCTGTCTTGTTGGTAGAGTTAGAACAACAACAAATGCATTGTGCACAGAATCAGGAAGTTTCAAGGCTTAGTTGGAACTCTGTGCTCAGATGCGGATCTAGACAAAGATCCAACACTTCCTCTCCCTGATGGAGCCTGCAACTCCACACTAACTTTATTTCGGTTTCCTGAGGCTAGCAAGGATTAAGTCACAATGTGGAAGCTTTCCAAATGGTAGGAGACTTTGTACGTTACGTAATTAGCTTCTAAAGAACTCTGGTCTTGTGCAAAACTGTGCTGTTAGGACAACTGGCAGAACTGAACCTTAGCTATCTAAAATGTATCTGAGCGTCCAATAGAAGAGGAAGGACTCTTAAAAAGAGGTCCTTCCTTCTTGGGACTTAAGAATATGTCAGCCATATAGAACTCACTTTTTAAAACCCCTTTTATCCTCTTGAATTTTTGCAGCCTGAACATTAGATCATGTTTTGAATATACAGCCAGCGAGAGTAGCTTCAATCAAAAAATAAGTAAGTTTTTATAAGAATAATTGTCTACCGTTATAGTCCCAGAAGATGACAGTACTTTGTTGATCTTGAGCCTCTTTAAGTCTGAAAGAGCTGAAATTTAGGAACAAAATGGATTGAACTGAATGCCTGTTTCCAGAAAAATATATTTCATTTTATTTATTTATTTTTAACCCCCCACCTCCACTGTGCAAAAATGGTTAAGACTGCAGAGTGCTGGCATTCTGTTTGCCTTTCTGTTTTTTTTCCCTTTGAAAACAAAAGTCACATCACATCACTACCATAATTCCTGAGATTATCAATCATCATGCGGTTGAATTAACTCATTGTGCCAATGAGTTCAAATATAGCAATTGGGGTAAGGCACTATATCACATAAAAAAGAAACTATAGTGTAATTTCCAGGGGCATTTTTCAAAACAAAAGTATTTGGATAGTTGGCTAACCACGTGGAGAGGTTTTCTTCCCAGAGCTAGCTTGGATGGAGTGCAATGTGTATCTCTTAGACTTACTAGTTTTGTTTTTTCTTTCACACTTCTCCTTTCTCCAGTTTTGGACTATACGTTTGATGTAGAACATGAGAGGAGGCGATTAGGCTTGCCAGCAAGAGTGCATTTTTCTAACCCTCGCTCTGTTTCATTAAACGGAACTGTAACTCTCGAAATACAGCAGATGGAAAAGTGTGTGACTAAGAGGCTCGAATTAGAGGTATGATGATTTTTTAAAAAAGGGCTGCAATTGTTGTAGGGCTCTTGTTTTCAGGTTGAATCAAACCCAACATTAGTACAGGGACGGTGTGTGGCTCGCTCATTCACACACGCACATGTGTTTTAGAGAGTTTATTAATACTCCCAACAGTTCCCTCCACCCAGCCTCAGAACTACCCCAAATAAAGGCAGCCACAAGCAGACAAAGATTAATCTACAAGGCAATGGCCAATAGTCCATAAAGCAATAGAAAGTTGCTCCAACAAGTAAGTCCACCAAACAAACTGAAAGCCACCAGGCAAAATTGAATGTACATCCATGACAGCTCACTTGGCAAGAGAAGTTCAGAGTTCGGAAACGAAACACATTGTTCCCAGCAATTCCTCCTTCTGCCTGCTGTGATAAATAGCTTTGCAGTGCAGCCCATCAAGAAGGGTTGGGCCTTCTCCTAAGTAATCTGGCAGATCTCCTTTGCTCTTGTCTTTTCTCTGCCTGACATGCTCTCGGACCAACATGGAAGGAGATATTTTTATTTTAAACTGTCATTTGAATTGAGGGCATTGGAAACATCTAATTGATCTAGATGGCACCCATCCTGATAATATTCAGGAATTTTTAAAGAACTGGGCGATTCTCCCAGGCTTTGGGATAAAGTGAAGATGGAACTCAGACTGGACAAGGGTTTGAGTTACATGCTGTTGTTGGGCCATTCATATTTTTATTTTTGTATTTTTATTTTGTATTTTTGTATTTTAATTTTCAAAACTTAAATTGTAGGACACCCAGAATCATTGAAAGTTGTATGGCCTATAAATTTCTTGCTTGAAATTTGAATGTTGAATGAATGAATGAATAGCATTATATTCCAGTTTTGTGGTAATATGTGTTAGTAGGTTCCAAATCAACCCAGTTGGAGTGAAATCCATATATTAATCAGAACCTTCTCTCTTATTTCTTAGGAAAAAATCAAAGATAAATTACGTCCAATTCCTGTATCTCTTAGCATTGCAATTCATACCCCTGAGACCACCGAAAAACCCAGAAGACAAGGAAGGTCACTGCCAGATCTTACTCCAATTCTGAATGCTAGTGAGCCCAACACAGTGCATTCAGAAGTAAGTTATCTATTTGAATCTTTATGCTAGATAACTATAAGACTCTTTGTATGCTATATCATCATTAGAAAATTGGATTAGAAAATCTATTAAAAAAGGAAATATTATCTCAACAATGTTTGCCACTTTAGTCAGTGCCAATATACTGTATATTATTTTGTCAAGAAAAGAAGGTTGCAAGCATTGGGGATGAAAAGTAGATCCTCCTTCCCTTGTTGGAGTTGATAAAAAGGCACATTAAATTATGTTCCTCTTCCCACAGACTGATGGCTCTGTAGCCTCCTTCCCATAATTTTGTACCACTAAGGGTTGTGATACACCAGTCCCTGAGCTTGAAATGCTGGTTCAAATACAAGCCCCCCCCCCCCCCGCTGCTTCTGATGAATGGAATGTTGACTTCTTAGTACTGAGAATTGTTGATGGGCAAGAGCAGAGGTCTCTAAACTTGGCAAGTTTAAGACTTGTGGTCTTCAACTCCCAGAATTCCTCAGCCAGCCATGCTGGCAGGGGAATTCTGGGAGTTGAAGCCCACAAATCAGGAGCAAAATTGGCAAGTTTGGTGAGCCCTGGTCTAGACAATAAGGTTCATGACAACATTGATTAATCTGTCCTGTTCCTGTTGGATCTAAACATTAATGAAACAAAGTAGAAATAGGGAAGTGGGTCTTATGCCATCCAGGTGGAATAGCAAAGATACTTATTTGTGGAAATGAAAAAAATAGGATAGGAAGAACTGAAGGTAGCTTTCTGTGGATGCAATACAATGTGATGGGAGTGATAGATTAAATATTGAGTCTGAATTATTTTCCTATTTATGGTTGCATATAATGAGACAGCTGACCGCGGCTCATCTTAATATATGGCATATATAAAATTAGAAAAATCTCCTTTTTGTTATATCACCTGTGACATTTGCTGCTAAACCATTGAACTTGTATTCTTTCTTAGGTGCAGTTTCTGAAAGAAGGCTGTGGATCAGACAACATATGCCACAGCAATCTGAAGATGCATTACAAATTTTGCACCAAAGAGGGAAACGACGAAAGATATGCCTATTTCCCCATGTAAGTCTACAGAAGGAATTTGCAATAATGTGGTACCCTGTTTACCTGGAAAAAAGATCAATTGGGCTTTTGAGTGCATGTGCTAAAATAAGCCCTCCCTGAAATATTGCAACACAGCAGCAGCTATAGGTGACCACGCTCGCTGCCTCCTGCACCTCAAAAAAATAAAGCTTCCCTGAAAATAAGGCCAAGTGCTTATTTCGGGAGTCCAAAGAAAATAAGACCCTGTCTTATTTTCGGGGAAACATGGTACTAACACTTTTACCCACATCCAGTTCCCAGTGATGTGACTCTGTTCTATTTCTCCAGGGAAAACAATGTTCCAGTGCTTGTTCTCAAAGACCAGAAAGATATCGCCCTTGAAATCACAGTGACCAACAGTCCTTCCAATGCCATGCACCCACTGAAAGATGGCGAAGACGCTCATGAAGCGAGACTTGTAGCAACCTTTCCCGACAGCTTGACTTATTCTTCTCTCAGAATAAATCAAGCTTATTTGGTAAATAATTCCGCCAAATGATGAGGATGTTCAAAGATACTGTGGTTTCACTTAATTTTGGCTTGATGCAACTGTTTTTTTTAAATTAATTCAGGAAAAACCCATTGCCTGTCGTCCTAATTCAAATGGCTCTCAAGTGGACTGTGAACTTGGAAATCCTTTCAAAAGAAATTCTACCGTAAGTATGGTTTCTTTTATGAGCTGTGGTGGCGCAGTGGTTAGAATGCAGTACTGCAGGCTACTTCTGCTGACTGCAGTTTGGCAGTTCGATTCTGACTGGCTCAAGGTTGACTCAGCCTTCCATCCTTCCAAGGTCGGTAAACTGAGGATTTTGCTTGTTAGAAACTCCCTAGTTGCAAATGACATTCCCACAACCCTGTGATGCTGCAACCATCGTAAATGCATGTCAATTGCCAAGCCCTTGTGATTTGATGATATGACTGTGGGGATCCTGTAACGGTCGTAAGTGTGAAGTGTGAGAACTGGTCATTATTCACTTTTTTTCAATTCCATTTAATGCTCTGTAAATGAATGGCTTTGACAGGGGTATGACAGGCTGTTACTCCAGGACTACCTGCATACTATCCTCTCATTAAATGACTGAGTTTAAAAATTAAAGCAGAACCATATTTATCTGTATGATCAAACGTATCAGAAATTAAGCAAAGCAGCTACTCCTTTTTTCTTATTTATGGCAGAAGTCATAAAAGTAATATTAAAAGAGAAGACGCATCTTTTAGCAAAAAGTGAGAATCGGGGAGGATACACAATGTAAAAAGCTAGAAATTATACAATGCTTACTGTAAAACATCTTACTAAAACATTGGCTTTAGTAAATTTCAGTAACAAGTAAGACACTGCCGCCAGTACGTCAGTTTTTAATCAATCCCAGGAAATTAATGGCATATAAGAAGTATGCCTGCAATATAGTGTAATCACTCTTTTTATTCCTTTTCTTAGGTTACCTTTTATGTAATTTTAAGTACAACCAAGGTTAATGTCGATACGAAGGAGCTGGATATCAATCTGAAATTGGAAACGTAAGATCTTTAAAAAAAAAAACTGGATTCACCATGTTTCCTGCTTTGTTTATAATACTTAGATATGACTATGGATTAGGTTGTGAACGCATCTGCATTATAACATGAAAATAATTAACTATTCCTTGAAAGTATCCTTTTGTTTCCTTTTTGTTGCAGGACAAGCAATCAGACTAATTTGGAACCAATTACTGCAAGAGCTAAAGTTGTTATTGAACTGCTTTTATCACTTACAGGGTAAGTGTCCTTTAGAATTCAGTGCCAGAAACGGTCCCTCTTTAAGGTCATTTTCGGTTCCACCACAAATCCGCGAAGCCCTTCTGCGCGGAAAAATAAGCGCGAAGACTAATTCGTGCTGTTCTAAGCGCCAAGGAAAAACGCACCCCTACCGCGATGACATAATCGCGGAGGGCAAAATCGCGCATTCCCAAGCACTCAGTACCCTAAACCTAACCCTAACGCTAAACCTAACCCTAACCCTAAACCTAACCCTAACCCAAAAACAAACCCCTAAACCTAATCCTAACGCTTACCTTAAATGAAGTCGGCTTTCTGCTGCGGCGCCGTTTTAAAGCGCCCTTCTGTTGCCGTGCTGTTGTCGTGGCGGTGATGACGCGCAGTGATGACGTCGCGGCTTTATTGCCGCGATTTTATCGCCGCGATTTTGACGTTCGCGCTTATGTCGTGCCACGGTCATTTTCATATATTTGTTTTTGTTTTTTTTACAACAGGGTTGCTAAACCTTCCCAGGTGTATTTTGGTGGTAATATCAACGGGGAAAGTGCAATGAAATCTGAAGATGAGATCGGTAGTTTAATTGAATATGAATTCAGGGTAAGTTGGCATACATGAAAAAAAAAAGTTAATTTCCTTTTTGGGTGATCAAATAAACTTGAAATTTCACACATAGTCTTGCCTTTGTATCTCAATGGCATTTAAAAAAAAAAGATCCTCACCAGGGAGTAGTTAACTTTTGCATTTCTGGCAAAAACAATGCACAGGTGTTCAACTGTGCCTATAGCTGTATCACTGCTTGAAATCAACCAGTACACTTGGGTGCTTAAAAACAGAGAGAGAAATAAGGGACACAGTACCATTGCATGTTATATTCAAACTATTTCATATCTTTTAGATGAATCATTAAGTGCATATTCCTGAGAAATATTAATTGAAAGGGTAAGGATGAGGGAAAATCCCAAACTGTATAGTGATTAAGAAATAATACCTGCTAACATTAAAAATCTTATGTTTATTTATAATTGATAATCATCTCTTGATAGGTGGGTGGTTCTTGATATGTTCTTCGGTCTTATAATTAATGGAATTTATCCAAAACATTTGTAAAGATGCAAATTTCCATCTTTAGAGAATGCATCAACACTGCATCCAATCTATTTAATTTGGTAGTATACACGTGCTGTTAAAGAGAAAAAAGAGAGAAGAAAAGAAAGAATCTGAGTGAGATGAGAGCTCATTCCATAGTAAATATGTGAGAATGTAGTGATTTAGATTTTAAGTTCCCATGATAAGAACGATTACCACAGGATTCTCACACTGGTAATGAGAAAGGAGACACATCCCCCGCCTTTTTTTTTGCTCCTTGGTAACTTGTAATAAACTTGCCCCAGATTGGATTTCAGGAAAAGGAGTGGGGAGTGACGCAAAGAGTTACAGGAACTTCCTTCCATCAGCAGGAATCTTTGGTGTGTCAGAGGGTTCCACCACAAAACCGCGGTGGACTAAAGCGCGCTCAACGAAAGCGCGTATGTGACGTCATCACAGCGCGATGAAAACAGCACGCTGTGAGCGGTAAAATTAAAATTAACGCGTAAATCTAAACCTAACCACCACAAACCTAAACCTAACCCTAAACCTAACCCTAAACCTAACCCTA